GCTTATAGAAGCAAAATAACCCAGTCAATTATTTTCTATAATTAAAATGCTTTGAATAGAAAATGAAAGCAGGCTTTGTGTCCCTCTGATGTTTCCTAGGGAAATCTAGGCTAGAGAAACACCAAAGTTTTGCAGTTATCTTCTTATTATAAGATGACCAGTAGCTTCAGAAAGCAGAACTGTAGCATCCAGCATTAAATTTCCGTTATTAGTCAGAATTGTTCAAATGTTGTTGAGAAATTGTTTTGTTAATGGGAAAGGGGAAATTTTAAAAAAACTGGTGTATCTTAATTACTAACCACTTTTTAAATGAGAAACAATTGATTGCAAATAGAGGTGGGAGGAGGAAAAAGGACATATGTCAGCCCCCAAGTCTGAAGATATGACAAAATCACTCTCTAGAACAATCCACTAGAGAACCCCTAATGTCAAAGAGATATGCGTTTAAAATTAGTTTCAAGGTGGGCCACTGTTACTGAGGGTAGTGTGTCTTACTCATCAGATGTGTTAAGGAGTAAAAGGTGCTAAAACACACACACACATACATAATCTTTGCATTAAAGTTAAAATAATTAACATTTGCAAGCACCAAGACTACTATGCAGTGAGAAAATACTTGGAAAACTAGTTCAGAAATAATAATTACAAATATCTCAATTTAAAATTGCAAATAATTGGAGCCTCTTTTTTCTTTATACACATAAAAATTATATTTACAGACTGTGTACAGCTTAAGTGACAAGTTGTTTTCAATGCTATCTTGGCAACTGTTTGAAATTTTAGCCTAATACAATGGAATTCAAAATAAAGACTAAACATTATCAATATCAAGAAGAAACACAAAACAAAATGACACAGATGCATATTAGAAGCTATGGTGTACGTTCACATTTACCTTGTTAATTGTCACAAAATACCTATGCAGGCAAAACTCTTCCATAGTAAATTGTTCAACAAAAACTTCAATCAAAAGAACTCCAATAATTTATCTGGACTAATGGTACTTTATAAATCATTAATATTCATAATTCTTATTCCTTAAGATAACAAGGAAACAGACACTTGGAATGACAGCAGCAGTCTCTAGAGCAAACACACTACATTTTCATAATTAAGTGACTCTTTGCTAGTGTTCTGGAAGGGACCAGAATGGATTAAACTAGCCTGCTCTCAAATCCACATGAGAAATCCAGGTATGATAAGGAACCTATGGACTAGAAGACCGTTAAGATGTTTATGAATTTGATGGGTCCTCAGACTACCATGCAGTTTACTGTATGCTCTTACATGCTTTCAGATTGTCCTGTATTTTAATACTGTCTACTTTTCTTTCATGTCAATTACTGCAAGTGTAGCTATACAGTTACTACTACTGCTGGGCTGACATCTCCCTCAGTGGAAAGCTCTGTGGGGGCCGAAGCCATTTCTTTTCTTTTCTTTTTTTTTTTTTTGAGACTGAGTGTTTTGCTCTTGTTGTCCAGGCTGGAGTGCAGTGGCATGATCTCAGCTCACTGCAACCTCCACCTTCTGGGTTCAAGCTATTCTCCTGCCTCAGCCTCCCGAGTAGCTGAGATTACAGGCGCCTACCACCACACCAGGCAAATTTTTTGTATTTTTAGTAGCGGGGTCGGGGGGTTCACCATGTTGGTCAGGCTGGTCTTGAACTCCTGACCTCGGGTGATCTACCCACCTCGGCATCCCAAAGTGCTGGGATAACAGGCATGAGCCACCATGCCCGGCCATGAAGCCGTTTCTATTATGTTCCTAACTGTGTTCATGGTACCCAACAAGGTGCCTGGCATATGACAGGAATTTGTAAAATAGTTGTTAAATGAAAGAAGTGAAAGGAAGAGAAGGAAGGAAGTTAGAGTGAAAGGAAAGGAAGGGAAGGAGGGAGACAGAGAGGAAAGAAACCAAGAGGAAAAAAAAATAAACAAAACCCCTTTCTGTTCCCTAATGTCATTATTAAGACTTTTTTTCCCACAAGATGCATCTTTAAGTTTTATACTAAGAAGTAAACATTTTTAAAATTTAAAACTTTTGCCTTTAATTTTGTTAAAATTAAAATTCATAGTAGATTAACTAGAAGATGATGCAATGCATTAGTCTGATCATCTTTGATGATAAAACCTATTTTAAGATGCAGGGTCATCTCTCAGCATTACCTCCATCTTCACTTGTTTCTACTGTGGATTTATAGAAAATGACCAGTAACTCATAGAGGTGTCAGGTAGCCTATAGAGGAAATCCATTAAAACATGAAAACTCCACACTCAGTGGATTTTGGCATTCCTGTAGAATCATGATTTCCAAAGGAAAGTGCAGCTGCTCAAGTGAAAAAACATCCTCTATGTGCTTTAGTCCTGGCAGCAGCAGCATCACTAGAGTTTATGAGAAAGGTGAAATCTCAGGCCTCACTCAGGCCTCACTACTGAGTCATAATCTGAGTTTCAGTAAGACTCTCTCAGTGTAGTTCATTTGAACATTAAAGCCTCAGAAGCATTGCATTAAAAAACAAACAGCAGCTCAAGCCTATAATCCCAGCACTTTGAGAAGCCAAGGCAGGAGGATTCCTTAAGCCCAGGAGTTTCCAGACTAGCTTGGACCACATAGTGAAACCCCAATCTCTGTAAAAAATACAAAAATTAGCCGGGTATGGTGGTGCATACCTGTGGTCCCAGCTGCTTGGGAGATTGAGGTTGGGAGGATCACTTGAGCCTGAGAAGTTAAGGCTGCAGTGACCTGTGTTCCTGCCACTATACTCCAGCCTGGGAGACAGAGTAAGACCCTGTTCCCTCCCCACTTCCCACCCTCCCCCAACAAAAACATCTTACAATCAGGCTAAAAAGCAAGCCAACCATAACAAAAATTGGTACTATTTATGGCAATGAATTGATGTCTCATATACTTAGGTAGTTCATATAAGCCAGCAAAAAGGAGATAAATATCCTAATAGAAAAGTGTATTTTAAAAGTGTTAATAGTTAACAAAACAAAGAATAAATTTACAAAATTCTTTTTCAGCAGAAATAAGAAAATGTAAGTTCAAATAACAAAATACCATTTTTAATAGCAGCCAAATTGAAAAAGGTTGAAAATGATAATATTATTCATTCTCATAGAAGAGAATTCAGGCAAGCACTCATATCCCATACTGTTGGAGAACATGTAGATTGGTACAAGTTCCTGGAGCGAGATTTGACATTAAGTATCAAATGTGTTAAAATTGTATAAATCATTTGACCCAGAAATTCCAATTCTATAATATGTTTTTAAGAAGCAAACTGTGACATAAGAACAAAGAGAGCTACTGATGCATTATTTAAATATTCAATAATTGGTTAATTAATTACGCTGCAACCAAATGGTTGGACTATTATTTAGTCATTAAAAACCAGGCTGTAGAAGAATAATTAATGAGCATGAAAGAAACGCCACTATATACACACATTCAGGTATGTAAAAAGCCCAGAAGCACACATATCCAAATGTTAAATATAATATCCGTACTCTGGGAATAGTGGTGACTTCTTTGTGTGTTTCTACATATTACAGATTTCTCACAATGAAGATATATTACTTCTCTATGTACAAAATAATAAGGCCAGGCACAGTGGCTCATACCTGTAATCCCAGCACTTGGGGAGGCTGAGGCGGCAAATCACCTGAAGTCAGGAGTTCAAGACCAACTTGGCCAACATGATGAAAGGCTGTCTCTACTAAAAATACCAAAGTTAGCTGGGCATGGTCGTGGGCACCTGTAATCCCAGCTACTTGGGAGACTGAGGCAGGAAAATCACTTGAGCCCAGGAGGTAGAGAATGCAGTGAGCTGAGATCATGCTACTGCACTCCAGCCTGGGCAACAGAGTGAGAGTCCATATCTCCCAAACAAAAATAAAAGCAAAACCAAAAAATAATAAACTTTTCAGTGGTGTGCTAGAGTTAGTTTATACTGGCTCACAGGAGCGAACTGGTAACTTTTCAGGAATTTCCTGAGTTTTTAATCACAGCCATTACAAAAGTTAAATTATATAAAGTTACTGTTAAAGAAATTACTTTCAAACAAAGGTAATAAGTATTTAACTCATCACTGAATCATTTATTGTAGTATTTGATCTGGAGGCTATCTCTGCCTTTTGCATCTGTATGGTGGGAATGCTGTACAATGACGTGCCACGGCACATTTCTTCCCAGCTTTGTGTTCAATGATCTTATGTTGGAGGCTTGAAATAAGCATTAACAAGAACATTAAAACCACAGACACTGGCAAATGCTGCAGACTAAGGCTTTTTCTTTCCCCCCAGAGAGCTACTTGTTACATTTACCAGCACACCACAGACTATAGGCTACTACTTTTTGTGAAAACAGAATATGGCCCTTTGGTGGAGAAGGGGAGAAGTGGATTTTCCTATCATGAGCAGATTAGAAAGGGAAAATAATTAAATAATTTGTTTCCTCCAGGCTGTTTCAGTATCGAAAAGGTGGACATGATGTTCTTCAGTCCTCACCGATTAGTTATGCAATTCAAGACAACCCTTGTTCAGCATCTGACCATCTTTCTTTTTATAGCTTTGATTTTAATTTTTACAACCCAGTTGAACCTCTCTGAGTTATCCCAGTTTAAACGAGAGAAAAAAGTAATGGCTCTCTTTTATTTTCAGGGTTCTGGATGCATTAAATTGACTAATCTCTTTGAAAGTACTTTGAAAACCATGAAATATAGGGCATTCTTAGGATACTTATAATGACTATGGATTCCTTATAAGCTAAAATTAGATGCAAATGTGTTTATATTTATAACACCTTGATATTGGATTAGTTTTAAAAAGCATTTTGGCCAATAATTATTTCAATTTAATCCTCTTTAAAGATATTATATTAATATAAGTGTTCACTAACCTTAATGTCCACATTTTCTCCCTCTGATTAATAGGTTCTGGCCAATTGCTTTTTCTTGAAGTAGTAATTAGTAAATTAAAGTATGTATGTGTTTCGAGTACCTGAAACTACAGAAGAATCTGCAAAAGATGATTCTGATGAATTATTATCCATGCCCCAGACCTCCTTCTCCAGATTTGGCTGGTCTGTGGTTGAAAGAAGTAGCTTTTCCACTTCAGGGCCATCATCTTGTGATAAATTCTCAATCTCTGTGAATAAAGGCATTAGAATGCAAATCATCGCGACACAAGTTTTTATAGGGCATACGTAACTGTTACTATTATTTTGAAAACAAAGTGGCGGTTAGTAAGAGAGGTTACCTGAATACATTTAAATATTTTGAAGTTCTGAACAGAACGTAAATTGAATTACAATGCAAGATTTTATACAATATAAATAGCTGTTACTGTTATTCTGAAAACAAGATGGAGAGCCCTCAATAGAGATTTGCTTTAATATATTTTAATATGTTTATATTTTGAAAGGCTTAGAACGTGCTTTTGTTATGGCACAGTATTTTTAATTTTAATATGGACACAATGAGTAGTTCTTTATAATGATTAGATTTTAGCTAAAAATACAGTATAATGATTATGCTAATCATAAGAAAAGTAATTTCCTGTCTGACCATCAGGTTTAGGAAGTAAGTCACTTATTCAGTGACACAAAGTTACATTTAAGGCTGAATTAATGAAAATGCAAATTCGGTAGTTTTCTTTAGCTTTGCTCTTGCCATTTTGTTTCCTCACTGTGTGTTCTGCATGAGACGTACATCTGCTTTAATGTCAGCCTATATTCATGTATTCTGAATTTCTGGGGATTTTTAAAACATTTAATCAAATATTCTGTGTCCTTCCTTTCTCCTTTCTTCCATTCCTCCTTTCTAGATTTTCTTACTTCAACTACATGTAATGGGTATTTTATTAAGGGCTTATGTGGGTTAAAAAGAAATTCAAGAATTTCTGCCTGTATGAAGCTGCAATCTGTCAAGAGAAGACTGATGCCATAAGGAAAATTTTCTAACGTATCATATTTGATTACCTCATCTTAAAGAAAACAGGGAAAACGTGCCCCACTTTGTATGGAAAATTTCCTAAAGAGAATTATTGTGACTTTGGACAAAAAGAAAACTTGGTAATGTCTGCAGTTAGATATTAGGTATGTTTGGGACTATTATAATAATTATTTTGCATTCACCATATAAATACCTTACATATATTAAGTTATTTAATTCTCGAAATAAGCCTGGATGATAAGTAATTTTATGTCTCCATTTTACTGAGGTGATAAGGTTAGTATCTCCAATTTACTGAGGAGTAAACGGAGGCACAGAGAAGGTCACACATTCAGGGAAGGACAAATATACATTCAGGGAATGATGCAGGATTTGATAAGCATCAGGATCCAGAGTCTAAGCTCCTACGTTAGTCTGTTTGTGCTGCCATAACAAATACCATAAACTGAGTGGCTTAGATAACAGAAACCTGTTTTCTCATAGTTATGGACACTGGACGTCCAAGATCAAGGTGACAGCAGGGCCAATGTCTGATGAAGGCTCTCTCCTTGATTTGCAGATGGCCACCTTCTCTCTGTGTCCTCATATGATTAAGTGAGAGAGAGAAAGGGACAAATGTTTCTCTTTCTTCCTCTTCTTAAAAGGCCATAATTTTTATCAGAGTAAGGTCCCATTCTTATGACTCATTTAATGTTTTTGTTTTTTATTTTTGAGATGGAGTCTTGGTCTGTCACCCAGGCTGGAGTGCAATGGCACGATCTCAGCTCACAGCAACCTCCTGGGTGCAAGCAATTCTTCTGCCTCAGCCTTCTGAGTAGCTGTGATTACAGGTTCATACCCCCACGCCAGGCTAATTTTTGTATTTTTTGTAGAGACAGGGTTTCGTCATGTTGGCCAGGCTGGTCTCAAACTCCTGACCTCAGGTGATCCACCTGCCTTGGCCTCCCAAAGTGCTGGGATTACAGGCATGAGCCACCACGCCTGGCCTGACTCATTTAATCTTAATTATATCCTGCCAACACTCTCTGCAGATAGAGTCATATAAGGCTCCATCATGTGAATACTGGAAGGACAAGGACAAAATTTCATCCATAGCATTTTACCACTGACTTCCCAAAATTCACATCTTTACTGCATGCAAAATGCATTAATGTCATCTCCTCAGCCCAAATACCTTAACTCACTGCAGCATGAACTCTAAGTGTAAAGTCAAAAGTCTCACCTAAACATTGTCTGAATCAGACATGGATGAGAATGGAGATGTGATTAATGATGAGGCAAATTCACCACTACCTGTGAACCTGTGAAACCAGATGAGCTGCATGTTTCCTTTCCACAGTACAATGGTGGGACAGGCATAGGATGGATATCTTACTCCAAAAGGGAGAAATAGGAAAGAAAGAATGGGTGATGGGGTCCACACAAACCCAAAACTTATTAATGTAAATGCCGTCAGATCTTAAGGCTTGTAAGGCTTGAGAATAGCTCTGTTTGGTTTGATGATCTGCCTTCCAGGTCAACGGAATGGCAGATTCATTTCTCAGGCTCTGCAAGACAGCCTTGTCCTGCTCTCTCTAAGGGCTCCATTCACACAGCTCTCTGTGAGGGTAGTCCTGCTTCTGAGACACCAGGCAGAGTCATCCTGGCTCACTAAAACCAGAGACAGCCTTGCCCTTTGAAACGAAAAAGGAAACTGCTTTGGCCCCTGGGTCTGCGGTGGAAGGGGCAACCCTCATGACTTCAGAATCACTTTGGGGACATTCTTTCCTTTCCTTAAGAATAGCACATATTCACAACCAAACAGCTCTATGTTCTGGTTCTGTAGGATCCAAAAAGTCCAGTATCCTTTTCTCATTCTGTCCTGTCTTCTCTGTCTCCTTCAGTTCAAATTTGAAGTGTATTTGCTGATATGATCTCTATTCCTGCCTTCCACTGAAATGGCTGATTAAGTACATGAGTGGCACCCACGATCTTGTTATCAATTGGTTGTTCATCTACACCCTAAGTGTTCTCTTTATAACACAGTTTCTCATTTTTTACATTATGAATAAGCTGAGAATTTTCCAAATATTTAAATTTTGGTAACTTTTTGCTTAACAATTCCTTTAATTAACTTCTCTTTTTTTTTGCATTTTACTATAAGCAGGCAAGAGAAATCAATCTGCTCCTTCAACATTTTTCTAAGAAATACTCTTAGCCAAATATCCAAGTTCCTTACTTGTAAGATTGAGTTTTATACCATTTTATAACAAGGATCACCTTTCTTCTAGTTTCCAATAACATTTTTCTCATTTCTGTCTGTGACCTCAGCAAAATCACCCTTAACATCCATATTTCTACCATTCACCCCAAACTCTTCTAGTCTCTAACAATTACCCAGTTCTAACGTCACTTCTGCACGTTTAGGTATTTGTTACAGCAGCACCCCACTTGTTCTTTAGTGTGGGTCACCAGAACAAGACTGCAATGATTATAATTAATTAATTAATAGTTAACTTTCAATTTGTCTTTCTTATATTTTTGGAAACATGGGATGCATGCTACAAAAAGAAAAATAAGAGCAGTTTAAGTGAGATTTACAAATGATATATGAGAAGATCTATAAAATGTTATATTATTACTATTATTGAATGCTTTTTAAAATCTCACATTAGGTAATGTTGTGGTATATTGACAAAACAATTCTTTTATCAAATGCTTAATACATTGTTTAAAATGTATAAAAATGTTCAGAAGAATATGCAGCAGATTTGTTACAACCACTAAAATACTTTCTTCCAAATAATTTAACATTGAATATTGTGTGTATTCAATGTTAAATAATCTTGATAAAAATTTCTGGTAGTTATATTGTTTCTAAAATAAGATAGTAGAAAGAGTGTTGGTTGGAGTAAAAGTGGTATTTGATAAGTTGATCTTTTCCCAGGCATCAATTTCCTCATTTGTACAGATAATAAAATAGATGACATATCACATACCTTCCACTCCTAAAATTTGGATTTTAAAAATGTTGGTATTTAGCATTGTGCCTATCTGCTTTATTGAACTCTCAATCACTAGGCAGAATTTGAACAATCTTCCTCAGTAAAATTACAAATACCTGCATTGCTTTCTGAGCAATCAGTGCCTATTAACTCTTGGACAAGTTCATTGTTTCCTGTTTGATGAAGAACATTCAGAAATGTAGAGAACCAGTTTTCTTTCTGCACAATCCTTTTTAGTAGCTCTCTTACACCTGATTCATTTCCATTGTTTTCTGCCGCAGAAATCTGTTGTAAGAGAAAATTAGAATTAAATAAGATCAAACATCTTTTGAATAACCTTAAACAGGAACTACCTTTTAGAAAAACAGCAATTAAGCATAAGCACAAATAAAGTTTTATATCGAAACACTAAAGAAAATAGCAATGTTACCTGTAGCCAATTCTGAAGTCAACAGGGAAAAAACAATTTCTGGACCAGGTGCCCTTTTAAATATGAACAATTTTTTTTAATAAAGCTATTGAATTATTCAAACCTGACACTTAGAAAATAATTTTTACCTCAGCCATTCCTGAATAAAAAGCACAAGAGAAAGTATCTTTAGTCTGGAGCCATATTATGTCTATTTTTACCTATTTCTTTCTACATATCTAGGGCTGGCTATACCTTTTCAACCTATGGAGTCTATAAATGGGAATTAAACATTTCTTATCTAATTCTTCTTTCTTCATGATTATCATTATGAAATAAGTAATTACTATGTAGATATATTCTTTCCTATTTAATATTTGCACAGTTCATTATTACTATAATCAATTTTTCTCAAATTTGTGTTTATTTAATATTAGGAGAAATTTATTTTTATACCTTTTCTTTGGAAATATGGGGGAGAATTATTTCTATATTCATTCATTAGAGTCTTTTAGCCTTAATTTATTTTCTGTTTTAGATTAATCTAGTACTCATTTGTGTAATAATTGTCACAGTGCACCTCCCCACATCCTAATACAGTGATAAGGATTTGGAGAAAAGATTAACTCAAGCCATGTTTAGACCTAAAAGAAGTTAGGCGGGACATCATTAGTTTTCTGTAGCATTAGGCAATTTACTACATTGCTCTGGACCGGTTTCAATATGTGGAAAACAACGCAGCTGAAAAGAAATTTCAGGATTTCTATATCTTAGCTACACATTAGAATCACCCATGGAGCTTTAAAAAATATTGATGTCTATGAAACACTCCTAAAATATTCTGATTTATGTTGTCTATGTTGGGAACTCAGATATTAAAGAAAAATTAAAGCATCTCATGTGATTCTATCAACCTTCCAGATAAGAAAGATTGACTTAGATATTATCAATGGTCCTTCTCAACAACTGCTAATCTTCCACATGTATAATTTGAATTGTCCAGTTCTTTCCTACAAAATTTATGTATTTTCTAGTTCAATACATATATTCCATAACCATTTATGTCAGAAATTTGTTAGCATGTTTGGAACAATGTCTGGCACTAAGTCAGTGCTAGCAATGATTATGGATGTCATCATTACTAAAGAGTCATCATTGCAAACATCTCACCTGCACAAGCATATACAGCATGATCTCCCCCACAAGGGATAGTTCTGTCTTAGTATCTAGTAGTTAAGCAAGCTGTTCTAAGTAACTTGAATATATTAACCCACCTGCCCAGAAGTAGGTATCAATATTAACCCATTTACAGATCAGAAATCCAAGGCACAGAGATGTTTAGTTACCTCTCTGAGGTCACAAAACCAGTATGAAGCAGAAGTAGAATTTGATCCCAGGCAATTGGATTTAGAGGCTGAATCCTACCGTAACTATAAATATAGCTTGTATTTTTCTCCAATTCTAAGTTCATTTTCTGGCAAGAAGTGATTAAAAATAACTATTTGATCTCAGTAACTTTCAAATGATTTCAGTTCATGTCCTCCACAACATTTTTTAAGCAGATTTTTGCTCATTTTTTTTTTTTTTTTACCGTTTTTTTTCTAACTCTCCTGGTCTCCTAATGGCAATTCTTTGGCTTCCCTGGTGTTGTAGCATCTCAGTTATCATCTGCTAATTTAACAAGTAACTGCTATAGATGTAAATAAGACTGGTTTCAGTGCTTTCTTTTAACTCAGCCATTCTGATATTTTACTATCCCATCCTTTGATCAGCTTTAAATATATTTGACTGAAGCAATCAAGAAGGATTTCCTTAAAAAGAACTAGTGAGGCACCGTAACAAATACTGTTATTAAAAAACCCTAAGCATATTCTGTCCACAAAATTTTCTTCAACTACTAATCTATTAAGTGGACTTTTACAGTGGAATCATATTTGTCAAGCTTTCTTTGCCTTTACTGAGTCCAAGCATGTAAGGATCATGATGCCATTATTTCCTAAACATATTCTTACAACTTGAAGGTGGAACTACATATATCTGTGCAATTTTAGTAGCCTCATCAAAATGCTGAATTCTTAAGAAATCTTCCCAGTTTTGGTGCTGGAAAGTACATCAACTTCCTTTGGAGCAATTATATGATTTATAAAATTTAATCTGTTCTCCTAAAACATTATAAAGATATTAGATCCCAATATGTAAACACAATTATAGAAATTTGTGGGCGCTGAATATTTAGATTTGAGACTGCAACACACCATGAGACTATTCTCACCCATGGCCCTTCCCACTCGAAGTTTCCTCTATGAAGTTAAAAATGGATGGATGTTTTTATGACTATGTAGTCTATTTAATACATTGTTAACTAATTTATGAAATATAAAATAAAATGAATTTGGGGATAATACAACTCAATGCCTTCATAATCTAAATTCTTTGATGTGAATCTAACGTAGCATCAGGGAACTTAAATAACTTGGCCCAAAGTAAACATATAGTAAGAAGCCAAGATAGACCTCAAATTCATGTGTTCCATTTCTACATTCTTAACACACTTTGTTGCTTCATTTTTATTAAACTTATACGACTGGCTTACCAACACAATTGTATAGTTTAATAAAAATGTCTTCTTCCCTTCATAATAATCTTAGGCAGCTATTTAAATATAATGGTGATTTTTTTTTACCCAGCAGAGTTGAACTCTCAGATAAAAGTAAATCAGGAAACAAAACTGGTATGTTAAAAATAAAGAGTTTTTAATGACCAGTTTCCCACAAAAAGTTAATGTCTTAACCAAATGAATATTATTGTCACATTGACATAGCTAATTTCTTATTCATACTTTTTTTTTTTTTTTTGCAAATAAAATCCTTATCCCTCCTAATTTGCCACACCATACAATGTTCTTGGGGAGACTGACTTGGGTACTCAACTTCATGTTGGGAGAACTGGACTGTTTTTAGCTAGGCTTGTCATGGCATCTCTGGTTCTCTTGTGTAAATGGAAGGTGTGTGCAGTCTCCAGGACTACAGCTGCATTGTGTTCTCAGCTGGCCAGGAGGGAAACATGCACCAATCTTTAGCTGTTCAGCTTGATTACTGAGACACTATGGAAATGTTTATGTGATCACTTCTGTTCCCAGAATTCATGACTGTCTAAGTTGATGAGTATGCCAAGTTGTCACTAAGCATCCTAAAAGAGGAGCAGGGCCATACAGGGGTACCCACTTACTGTTAAGGACCGCTTTATTATAATGATTGATAAAATGCCATATATTGATAAAATGGCATAACATTGCTGAGTCTCTAGTATTTAGAATAGTGCCTTCAATATGGTAGACATTCTTTAATCAACACTGATGAATACCTCAACACAACTTCATGAAAGGACACAACAGTATCTGTGTTTTTCTCCTATCTTTTCATTACTAGTATGGCATCTGGCACAAAGATGAGACTCAATAAATTCAAACTGAATGAATGAATGAGTGAATGAGTTTTGGGGTACTTCCTGGATACAAACCGAAGTCTAAAATCATTTTCAGAAGCTGTACTCAGGGGCGGAAGCTAGGAGATGGGTGGGATTCCTAAACTAAAATAAGAGATCCAGTAGAAAATATCTATGATAAAACAGAAAAAGAATGAAAATACAAGACCATTTTATAGAAGTCTTCATTACTTTGTTACATGCTATTTAAAGCTGTCTAAAAAGCAAATTTGGAAATCTTATGTTCATCATTCATCCATTTTCTAACGCCTGGCAACGCAATCCAATACATTATGTGTTTTCAACACTTATTCCAGACACTTTCAGAAATAAATTCAATCAGTCTATCAATCAAGTAATCAATGCTTATTAGACACTAATCTTATACCTAATTCTGGTTAGGTTCTTGGATGAAAGAAGTCATTTCTTTTTCAAATCAGTGTAATCTAGGGACTTTAAGAAGTATATCTCTGGCTGAGCGAGGTGGCTCACACCTGTAATCCCAGAATTTTGGGAGGGTGAGGCAGGTGGATCACCAGGTCAAGAGATGGACACCACACTGGCCAACAAGGTGAAACTCTGTCTCTACTAAAAATAGAAAGATTAGCTGGGTGTGGTGGTGCTCGTGCCTGTGGTACCAGCTACTCAGAAGACTGAGACAGGAGAATCACTTGACCCCAGGAGGAGGAGGTTGCAGTGAGCCAAGATCATACCACTGCACTCCAGCCTGGGAGATAGAGCAAGATTCCGTCTCAAAAAGAAAAAAAGTATATCTCAATTGCAACATGGGTAATTTACCTAAGTATCTCAAACTTAAATTTAAAAGAAACTGTAATCAGATGAATAGTAATAAAAGTCAACATCATTATCATATCAAATAGCTCTGATTTATAAGCTTTTTCATAAACACTATTTCTGATTTGATGTTGACTAAAATACTGTGAGAAATTTTATGATGCCCATTTTCAAGGGTAAATGTAGTATCAGGGAACTTAAATAACTTGGCTCAAAGTAAACATATATAGTAAGAAGCCAAGATAGACCTCAAATTCATATGTTCCCCTTCTACGTTCTTATCACGCTTTGCTGCTATAAGATAAACATTCGTCAGTGACCCCCACATCAATATAGATTATTCTCCCAAACGTAATGCTTCCTTCTCATTGTCCACCATAGCTTATTTTTGGAACTGGTAATACATGTAAAATGATGCATACAAAAATTATTCCAGACTCTCATAGAGATACTACTGTTATAGCTGCTCGGTCTTTCAGGGCCTTTTTTTGAAATGTGAATCAGAGGGAGAATTTGGGTTGCTTTGGCCTTAACTGCTACCAGTACACAAAAGTCCCTTTACTCTGTATCTTCCTTGTGTCAAATCCCTTACATTACTGCTAGCTGCCTCCAAGCTTGCCAGAATCAAGAACTTGGATAAAATCTAGCTGGCGGAAATTCAATCCAGGCAAGACAAAAGTGATGCTGATAGGCAGAAGTATTTAGAGTAAATAGGGAGAAGTGCTGTTTCGCTGGCAATCGGGACATCATACCCACCAAACATAAACAGCTTTGTGGTGTTACTGGACTCTGTTGCTTCTGGACTTCTAACAGCTACTGTGGCTGGAAATGCCATCTTCCATCTCCAGCTGGCTTGAAGGCTGCATACTTTCTTCCAAATTAAGATTCTGCCACAGTGATGTACACATTTGTCATATCCAGCTGGACTACTATAATGCGTTCTAGCTGGTTCTCAATACACAAAACGACGTAAACATTACAGACAACAGTGTAAAGTAATTTACTTGTTGGGAAAACTGGCCATCAAAATTTGGTTCATGTTTGGGTCTTTGGACAAGCCCTGTGTCTGTCAAGTCTCCAAAAGACCATTAACTTTATTCACTAAAGACGAACTTGCATCATAGGCTATAGCCAATCAATCAAATGCCCAGAATTTTGTAATGAATATACAAACAATGGATGAACCACAAAGAGAAAAAATCATGTGAAAATCATAGTGAAGTGTAGACAAAGCCTTTGACTTTTAGTCATGCTGATAGGCAGAAGTATTTAGAGTAAATAGGGAGAAGTGCTGTTTTGCTGGCACTTTTAATCACATCTTTCAAAACAAGACTTTTGACTTACAAACCTGAGTAAGTCAGATTCAAACAGGTCAGCATTTATACACATCACAGTACATCTTCACTTATCAAAAAACAATTCATATCACATTCAATGTAAAGTCATCAGTAAAATTCGCCCTGTCAAAATGCCACCTTAAGAAAAATCCAGTTTCTTCACTAATATGAAAAACTGAAACTAGCAACACATTCTTCCAATGAATTGCTTCTAAATTTTGATTATTAGAGAATGTTGAAACTTTGATTAAAGAAAGAAAAAAGGTGTGTGTGTGTGTGTGTGTGTGTGTGTCTCTATGTGATTGTAATCTACCCATTTGGGCTAACTAAATGGTACAATGTGTAATGTAGGGCAGAGATTCGAAAACCTTTTCTCTAAAGTGCCAAGTAATAAACATTTTATGCTTTAAGGCCACACAGTCTCCAATTGCCTTTGGAGCAGAAAAGTATCCACAAACAATATGCAAACAGACGAGCATGACTGTGTCATATTGACTCAGAACTGTGTCAATAAAACTTTATCAACACTGAAAATTAAAAATTGAAATATCTAAAGACCATCCTTAGCTTGTGGGCCTGAAAAAAACAGTAGTAGGCTGGATTTAGCTGGTGGGCCCTAGTTTGCTGACTCCTGTTCCATGGAACTACATTAAATAAGAAAATAATTCAACACTGGCAAGAGCTAAAATATTAGCTCTGCCATGGTTTTTCCTGGGAGACTATGGGCTGATTATTTAACCTGCCTCCGCTTTCTCATCTGTAAAATGGAGTTAATAACATTAGAAGCCTCAGTGGGTTATTCTGAAAAGGAACTGTAGTAATACATTTTGAAAATGATACAAACTGCACATAGTAAGTGTTCAATAAATGTTACCTGTTAATATACGATTCTAAAGTTAAGTCCTTTTTAGTTCAGTGAAAGAATCAGAGAAGTAGTTCTTTTGTGTTTAAAGTTTCAAACTTGTCTTAAAGTGCATAAATGTTGTCTTCTCAAAGGAACTAACTAGATTTGCCCAAAGATGTCAAGCACATTTCGAATGGGACAAACGCACAAGGAAGGCTGCTTTGCAAAATATGCCTAAAAGGCCAGCGCCATATGAACTGACACCTACCCGGTTTCTGTCTTCAATTGTCAACAGTTCCTCCTCCATGCATTTATCCAAGACGTCTCTAACTAGAAGCTTGTCCACCAGAGTGGGCTGAAGGAGGTTCAGCAGTTGGAGACATTCATCATGAGCGTTCTCAGAGGTTGGAGAGGGCAAGTCAGTGAGCTCAGGGTTCATGTAGCGGGCGGCCAGAGGGCTGCCCGCTCTCCGAAGGGCCTCCACGAATTCCCGAGCCCAGCCAAGGTGCCAGACTCCCTTTTCCAAGGTGCTCAGTAGCAGTTCAACTGCCTGTATGTTCCCGGAGGTGGCAACAGTCCTCTGAATCTGCTCCTTCACCTCTGCAGGCAGAAAGGTCAGGTAGTCCAGCACAGGCTCCACCTGGATGTACATTTTCACCCGGGCCCTAAAGCACGAGATGAGATAGCGGAAACTCTCGTCTGTAGAATACCCATTCGACATCTTTTCTTCTCAGAGAAGGGAGAGGATTCTCCCAAGCAAAGGGTGCTGTTCTCTGCGGGACAGGTGAATTGCGCGTGCCGCTGTCCGCTGCCCAGTTGGAGGAGCAGGGTCTGTCGCCCTGTGCCCGACAACAACGAGGTTGCCCGCAGGGCCTTCCGGCCGGCGCGCGGGGCCGCAAACGCACCTGGGCAGGTGGGCAGGTGGTGGGCAGGGGGGCGGCGCGCGGGGCCGCGGCAGGCAGGTGCGGCCGGCGGACGTGGACTTTGGACTCTGCGGTGCGCGCCTGGGGTCCCAGACACTGCTGATCCCTCTGCACACTCGGGTGGGAGCTTCGAGTCCAGCTTTCTGGCGGGCAGTTCTTATGAATTTGCCTGACTTTGGTTTCTGTTTCGATTCTCTTCGCAGGACTTTGCAAACGTAATCTTCCGGGCGGGGAGGGAATTTCCTTGGGGAGGAGCCACCTATTGGTCGGGGCGGGCGAGAGGGACCTTTGGTCATGGACACCGCGGGAAACAGAAAAGGAAAGCGAATTCTCTCTGGCACCAAGACCAACGCTCTTGCAAAGCTCCTCCTGCGGGTATTTTGTCTTCCCAGCGGGGTTCTGCCTTAACAATCAGGTCCTTTGTAGGCCAAAATGTGTAGGGCATAAAAGCGTGTGATTTGCGACTTTCCAATGGGTAAGTGAACAGAAATGCCGCAGACCGGGACGTGAACAGGGAGTTAACCCTCGGCTGGTGAATGCACACAGGCCTGGCTGAGGGTGATGAGATGAGACGACGAGGGACAGGTGAGAGACGAAGGACAGAAGACATCTTTCCAGAGATGTGGAAAAGCCAGTAGGAAGCCACCTCTGTGCCCTTCCTAAAATAAACCTGACCTCCTGAGGGTTCCCAAACAATACTAACTCGTTCCTCTGGGAATTTGTAGGTGGGTACAAAAAAGTGAGTCACAATAAACAGTTAACTTTACTGCCTCATATTTACATTGCTAGTATTTATGCAGCTTTGACCAGGACCTGGTAACAGATGTGGATGGACTTGAACCACTAACTCAGCTTTGAAGGAAGCCAAGACAGAAGGTTTCCTAGATCCCAGCGTGTAAGTTCCCTATATTCTTTAATATACAACTTTCCTTTAATAAAACAAAACAAAAAATCCCCCAACAACTTATTTTTGATATAGCTGCCATTCTTTTCTTGGATTCAATACAGCAAGTTTTGGCTGGAGCAGCTAGAAACTTAATTAGCAACTAATGTACCACTTGTAGTAAACATCAACATTTGTCTATGTCATGAGAGAAAAAAAACATATTCACACTGAAAAATGGCAGCTTCATTTCGGCACAGAAGCCACATAAATGTGACTTCTTAAGGTTACCACTCACTCAGGAGGCATTCTGTAGCCCTGGGTGGCTGTGGGTGGTAGGCACCTACGTATCATAACTAGAGCCTCATGGTTCACAATTGTATAAAGGATGGAGAAATCATTTAGGTCATCAAAGAGACATATTTAGGAAAAATAATCTGTTAGCAAAGTACATTCAGTAAAGTCTATGTGAGCCAGGAAAACCTGGTGGTGCTTTGAACTGGATAATAGAAGTAGACTCTTGATGAGTGTTTACTAGGGGTATATAAAATATCCAAGTGAGCACTTTATGGTAAGATTTCTTATTTTATTCTCTATCTTATGTAGGAAGCCTTTTTCTACCCCTGAACGAGTGTAGGCTGCTTGAAGAAGGGATATATTTACACAATAACCAGTACAGTACTCACAACTAGTGGGCCCTTCATGATGTCTCTCCCCAGAGTTGTATTTGAGTTGATCCTAGCAGCTAGCATAATGTCAAATACATTGAAAGTTGAAGTAAATGAAACCTTGGCCTTGCAGGTTGACTTGATTTTACCGTTCCTTGTTCCTTCACAGAACCCTACTCCTTTTTTATTTAATTTTGGCAGTTGACCTTGTACTCAGATAGAAGATAATCCAATTAGATGTTTCTACAAAAGTACTCACATTATTCAAAGTATCGGGTCTATGAAAATACCTTTTAGGGCTACTGCAAGAACATACTCCTATCCCCCAGCTGCCAGTGGGTTTTATTCAGCATGTTAAAGCACAAACCAACCAACCACAGCACAGTCTTTTTCCCGGCACTTATCCTTCTGTTTCTTGGTTTCCAACATGGGGGAATGAGAAGGGGTTACTGATTGAATATGGGGAACTAGTTAATGTTATTTTCTTAGTACTACTTAATTGCTGCTTTGGAAGAGAAAGGGTCAAATGTTTGGTATTTGACCTTTTCTCAAATACCAAACATTTAAGCCAAAGATGTTTAAATATTTGGCATTCAAATTATATCATTCATTATATCATCCAGTTATTTAAAATATGTTTATTAAGTATCTATTACATGACCAGCACTGTTCTACGTGCAGTTAATAAAATTAACCAAGTGCCTACTTTTATGGAGTTCACATTCTAATGGGAGTGGGAAGATAGATGCTAAGCAATGACTAAAAAATATGCAGTGTGTCAGGTGAGGATAAATGCCATGCAGACCATAGTAAATCTAGATAATAATGTATATTACAGTTTCACAGGTTGATTTCCCAAATAGTCATCCTCATCTAACCCTATTAGCATCATGTAATACCCAACAATTACAATTCATATAAAGTTCTGGTTTTAGGTATTCACATATAAAAACTTTTCTGCATAGCAGTTTTGGCAAAAAATAAAAGTCACGTATTAATAGATAATTTTTGAAATATTCGTTTTTCAAGTGCTCCTTCCATAGCTTAAAGTCTTTTTAAAACACGTTACTTGCAAATGTTTTTGTTAAAACAGTACTTTTACCTCAAAGGCTAGATTGTAATTGTTTTATTTTAAAATAAATGCTTAAGAACTTGCCAAGATTCCCCTTCATTTGCCTTAAGTCCTGTAGGGAGAAGAGGACCTGGACCTTACTGGGCCCAAATTCACTGGGCATCTGTTGGAGGGGCAAGAGTAAGAGTGGGGTTTGTTTAGTGTGAGGATTTCTAGGAGGGGGCAAGTGAGAGGCTGAAGCTGGATAAGGAGGTCAGGATGGACCTGGAGGAGCAGGGCTTGCGGGAGTTTGCTCCTTTGCTGGGGGTGCTCCCTGAGACAGCAAACAGGAGGGCTAGATCAATCCTACATTGTCGGCAAAGGTCTGGATTGCCTTATAAGGTATAGAAACCTTGCACATATGGGCCTCAGACCATCTGTTCTCAAGTCTACAGAAAAGATCCAATTGCCGATGGTATTCAAATGAATGGTCCTTTCCTGAGGCCAAGCCACTCCTTCCTGTAAACATAATTTGGCCAAACCTTTGTGTAGAGAGCTATGAGGCATTTTTCCTCGAGATTCTGAGGGTCAAAGTAGTCCCAGTGGTTCCGGATATACTCCAGAGGAGTATAAGCTGGGGGTGATAAAGAGAACTGGTTGTCCATTCAGAAAGACAGGGAATAGAGGCATCCCTCATTTCCCTTCCTTTTTTCCCCAAGATAGAGTCTTGCTCTGTTGCCCAGGCTGGAGTGTAATGTGTGGCGTGATCTCTGCCTCTGCATTCTCTGCCTCCTAGGTTCCAGTGATACTCCTGCCTCAGCCTCCAGAGTAGCTGGGATTATAGGCAAACCCCACCATGCCCAGCTAATTTTTGTATTTTCACCACATTGGCCAGGCTGGTCTCAAACTCCTGACCTCAGGCGATCCTGCTGCCTCAGCCTCCTAAAGTGCTGGGATTACAGGTGTGAGCCACCATGCCTGGCCTTCCCTTCCTTCTTTCAGTGAAAAATTCAGGGTATGATGGAGAGAGAAAGTAAGCATCCTCCCTTCACTCTGCACCCCTTATCCCTGAGCCCCAGAGATCTTGGCAGGTGCCAGCCATAGATACCAATTAGGTATGTACCATGAGGCAGGGAAAACCTGGAGAATAGGAATTAACTACCCTCACCTATGCTTCCCTTTCAACCTGCTGTTGGCAAACTTTGAGTTCCTTGGGCCTGTTTATTCCAAGAAGCATGGCCTACTGTGGGGTCGGTTTTAATTTTTTTAAAAAATTAGCTGGGTGTGAGCATGCACCTATAATCCCGGCTACTTGGGAGGCCGAGGTGGAGAATCACTTGAACCCGGAAGGCAGAAGTTGGAGTGAACTGAGATTGCGCCACTGCACTCCAGCCTGGGTGACAGAGCAAGACCCTCTCTCAAAAGAAAAGAAAAAAGAAAAGAAAATAGAGCCTCTTACCCATAGGAAAGAGAGAGGTGGCAGGGTTTCAGATGAAAGACCTGACAGTTTTGCATTCACTCACACTCACATTCTGAGAACTTGGGTGAGCCCCCCAATTGAAACAGGAAAAGTTGCCTGGCTGCTCAAACCTCTAGGGGAGCATACAGACTGGCAGGCTGTGGGGGTCCGATGCCATGGCAGTGTCTAGGGGTAAATATTTACAGCTCCCGAAGCCTCGGTGGGAGTTTGTTACAGGGCACTCTTTTAGTTTTGCTATCTATAGGTGGCTTGTGTTTGTTAACCAGCTCAATTAAACCCTCTACATTGTTGCAAGGACACAGGGCTTTCTGTATCCTGGGTTCTTACCTTAGTGTACTGGAAGAATCAGATCACACCTGGGCTTGGAGCATGACTACAAGGTTTTATTGAGTGGAGGTGGCTTGGGTAAGTCAGAAACGGATTGAGTGGGAAGTTTCCCCCTGGAGTTGGGCCTCTCAGTGGCCTGGGCTCACCACTGGCTGCCCCAGCCAAACTCTGCATCATTCTGCTTCTGCCGGTCAGTGGCCTGACAGCCTGCCAGTGCCTGTCAGTGCTTCCCTATTCACATCCAGCCGTCTGGCTGATGTGCTCCTTTCAATGTCCAGCTGTTTCTGTATCTGCCTGCTAGGGTCTGAGGGTTTTTTTCAATAGGCATAGGATGGGGGCATGCCAGGCCAGGGTGGTCTTGGGAAATGCAACATTTGGGCAGGAAATGACTTTCCTGACC